CGCCTAGCAGCGAGTCAAAGTCAAAAGAAGAAGTGTGCTCATGTGTCCGCATTGTGGCCTCGAGTGTGCAAATCAAACTGTGTTGGGCTCGCATATCTCCCAGAAGCATTCTGCGGCACCGGTCACCTTCAATCGCCTCGTGCACTCCACTGGAGGTATGCCGCGTTGCTCTGGTTGTCACGTGCTTATGAGCTCTTGGGCTAGATTGCAAAAACACATCGAGCACGGCGCTTGTCCCACCCCCATCGAGACCGGTGCACCTGAGGCTTCACGGACTTTGACTCGAGACGAAGGCGAAACGCCGAAGATTGAGCATGGGATGGCGCAACCGAAACCGTCGCCCGAGCCTACGGACCGAGAAATGGGCCCAGGTCATAGGGACTCCTCACAAGGGAGTACTAACCTGGGCCCATTAATTTCTCCTACTGATCAGCCATTGATTTTGCAGCCTGAAGTGCTTGATATTGTACGCGAACGTGGTTGGCGCAAACTCGCTTCGAACCCTACCTGGAGGCCCAAGCTTGCTCAGTGGTGCTGTCTGTGTGGGACCTGGTGTGTTTCAAACAGAGCTGTTAAGATGCACCTGGCCAAATCTCACAAAGCAGTCTGGACGCAACATAAGCATCGGATTGAAACTCTGTGCAAAACGCAGCTGGCCGACATCACAGTTCCATGTGGCTTATGTGGGTCAGTATCCAAGGAGCCTAAAGCACATGTTGTTGCGTGTCCAGTTCTGTTCCAGTCATTGTTGATTTCTTTGGTGACCACAGATGGCACACGCAGCGGAAGTGAACTTCTTCAAGCACTTGCTACCAGTGGGCGGTCAACAGAGCACAACGGGACCACCGAGCGCAGCAACAACAACCCCATCGACAACACCGCCGTCGACCAAGCGGCCCAGATCGGACGAGCAGCAAGGACGACGACCACCGCGCAGGGGCAAGCCACAAGAGCGAAACGCGCAACAGGGGCAGGGCCAGGATCGGGACATCAACAAACTCGTGGAGGCCACAGCCAGGCTGACACTGAGGCTGGCGGACGAACACCAACTACTGCTTCAGGACTGCGGCTTCATCAGCTCGGAGTGGAAGAAGCTGCGGGACACAAACCCCCAGCAGATCACACGGCCTCTGCATGTGCTCATGTTGGAGTGACCCCAGCGTACGCGAGGCGGCAATCCAGGCGGGGTGGTACACGGAACAGGGCGTGTGGCTCTGCAAAACCTGGGACCCGATCCAGAAGGAGCTTCTGGCCGCAACCCGAGAGCCCATGACGACCACCACCATGGAAAACCTTATCATCGAAGTGCTGGCGGACATCAAGGAGCAGGGAGTGCTGCACAAGTTTCATGCCTCGCAGACGCTTCAGGCGGACGCGGAAATGACGGCGGCGAACAAGGAGGTTTGCTTCACGATCCAAGTGTCTCTTCGCAATGCGGGCGAAAGACTGCATCGAAATCTGTCCCTGTTGTGCGACAACATGGTACTGTCAAGCTCCTGAGCAGCAGGTTGCGCCAGGAACGCAAGCATCGGCACGTACTGGCGAAACATCTGGAGGGCCTGATCTACAAGCAGCGCTGGCCCTACGATTGAAAGATCCTGGTAACGTGTGCTACGTCAATGCTTTGGTGCACATTCTTACTTGGATGTTAGCCTGCACCGATCTTCAGGTGAGCAGCTTGGGCATGGGGCAAACCGCTTGGCGCACCATTTTGGTGCAGCGCAAGGCTTTCAATGTTCTGCAGCTTTTTCCTTGGAGTGCCATGATGCGCGGATGGACACACGGAGGGCGACAACATGATATCTGTGAATTCTTTAATCATTTGATGCGCAGGTTTGGGGCTTCGCCATTTCATGGTATATGGAATGCTAGGGTTTTGGAGGCCGGACGCCTAGAGAATCATGACGATGGCGTATGCGAACAGATGATACTACTGGATGTCCCAAACTCTGGTACATGGCACCTGCAGGCATCAATAGATGCGTGGCATCATCAAGCTTTTTCTGCATGCTCTGGTGTCGGCGCCCCAATGGCTTGCACTGCGCTTAAACAGATTTCAGCAACGGGAGCCGGCAGGACCGATCAGCAAGGTGAGAGCGGCCATGGATTGGTGCACGGAGCTCTTACTTCCTGAGTTTACTGAAGGCTTAAGTGTTCATCATGTTCGGTATCGTGTTTGCGCTTTCGCTGTGCACATAGGAGAGAGTGTCACCAGGGCATTACAGGGCTCTTTTGTACAGTGCAGTAGATGGAAAGCTGCACTACTGCGACGACAATGCTCGAGCTATCTTACCTGATGATTTTCATAGTGTTTCTTGCGACGTTCACGTGGTTTTCTTAGCTCGTATGCATTAGCAGTATGCAGGGGGCTTTCCTTTTTGGGGCAACATGTATATACATGTTTTTGGCTTGCGGAACGGAAAGTGCTACAAACAGTGCTCTAGTCTTGCCACCATGAGTGGCCGCTCTTCTGGAAGAGGAGTGAAGTCCTTCTCACACGACGCACCGTTGTGGAGTCCGAAAGAAAGAAAGAACACTCGTTGGGGGGTCAACCGCGGGTCAACCGCTCGGGCTCGCTCTGCCCTTTTGTTTCCTCCGAGCGTGCCTCGCTCCGCGCTGACACAGCAACCCTCGCGGTAAAAACAAAGAGCGCTTCTTTTCGTCGTGCAGTTGCGTATACTGTGTAAACCTAGAGAACTCTCCAGTGAGCTTTGAAAAACGAGGGGTCCTTTGGTGCAGCTGCTGTGCAGTCGACAAGCATCTGTTGCGGGTCACGAAAGTCTTGCACGAACATGTTTGACGTCGTGAATCTTGGTCGTTGCTCAGTAGCGCAAACAAATTCTGCAAGGTCTGTGCGGAAGACTCTTTCGCATGCACTGGCACCCAGCTGGACTTGTAAAGGCTGCATGGGATTGTCCGTCTAGGATTGGACTGGGTGACTGTGGTAGTTTCACTGGCATGATGCCGGCTTCCGTGGAAGTTTGTTAAAGGCAACGGTCCTGAGCGAGCGAACGGATGTAGCCTTTATTCGCAAATGTTTCGGTTTTCGTTTATGCGGAAACCGAGCGCGTATCAATTTTATTTTCATGAGATTTTTGTGCTCAGATTTGTTCTGCAAGTTTGAGTCGAATCTCCATGCTCTTCCGAAACACTCCTCCTCAAGGGAGGGAAGGGTAGAGAAATAACAAATCCTCGGTGCAAGGCTAAAATGCTTTGTGCTGGGGGGGTGTAGTTCTCCTTGTAGAGGAGGGCCTAGCCATGGGCGAGGAGGCCGAAGGTGATGTGTACGGTTCGGAGGATTTCGGCCGTTATCTTGCAAGTCTGGGTGTGGACAGATCAGCCGACGATTTGTCAGCTCACGCATACGAGCCGTCTTTAGCATCCGACAGACAAGATGTCTTGAACGTGCATCAGCCTGAGTCTGCGTCCTTCTCGCTAGTACCTTCAATTCCAAGTGTGCCGCCTCAGTCTGCCGAACATGGAGTGCAGGCTAGGAGGCCTCATGCCTCGACCAGTGGGTCGGTGCCAGCTTCCTCGGACTTAGGTGGCGTGTTGAGAAGCACTCATGCATCTTTAGCGCCAGTGGTTCCAAAGCTCGTTTGGCAAGAACAGTTTTGGAGTGACTTCTTTCATCCTGCTCAAGATGTGTCATGTCAAGTTTTCTGCCAGCGCCTGAATTTACCAGGTTCGACCCTCCGACTCAGGACTCGTTAGTCCCTGAGGAGCCTGTCCCAGACAGGCCTGACAAGCGCGCAAAACTTTCTGCATCCCGGGTTTATGAGAAGGTTGTTCTTAACAGGTTGGTCGTCTCATGGCGTGATCAGAGGGAAGCCGACCTGTGCAAAGCTTTCTCCAAGTGGACAGTCGTCTTCGAATCATGGGATGCCTCCGAAGTTTCCATTGCCAAGCAAGTGTCCGAATGTGTATCTGCAGTGTCCCGAGAGTCCCTGCTGGGGGACTACCTGGCTCGCAAGGCACCTAGCACATGCCTTAGGCGTGCAAACAGCATGTTAAGATTGAACCGCCGCGCTGCAGGGAGCTCCCTTGTCATGCCAATTCGGGAGCCCGAGCTTTACCAGGTCCTTAGGGATGCCAAAGCAGGGGGAGCTTCGCTCTCCGAACTCAGGTGCATCATGGAAGCAGTGACTTTTGTGAGGTACACCTTTGATGTAGAGCAGTTCAGCGCATGTGCAAAGAGCCGACGGTGCTGGGGCCTTTCCAGTGCAAAGCGAGCCCAACTTGTGACTAGGGCCGATCCTATGAGGGTCGTCGATGTGCATGAGTTGCACTCCATCTTGAACCATGGTGCTGATCTGTGGGATAGGCTCATGTGCGGTGCAGCACTTTGCTGCATATACAGCAGGGGCCGATGGAATGACCTGCAGCATGTTGACAACTGGGTCCTGGAGACTAGCGAAGATGGGGATGTCGAGTTTGCATCAGCCATGATCGACATTCATAAGACCATGCATTTTTCTTCAAATGCCCAAGGTGATGGAACTTGTTGCACCAGGGGCTGGCCTTGATGAAGGCTGCTGGATCTCGGAGTTCATGAAGGTGCGTGAACTTCTTGGTGCAACATACTCAGATGGTTTTCCTACCATGCCGGCGCCTGATGAATCGGGTGCCGCAACTGTAAGAGCACTCAGCTCTGGGGAAGCGGGAGCTTGGCTTAGAGCACTGCTGTCTGACCGCGACGGCCTCAGAACCACGACTCACAGTCTGAAGTCCACCTTACTTTCGTATGCCGCGAAGCGGGGCATATCTCATCTTGACAGGCTCTGCCTAGGTGGGCACTCGCACGGGGCATCCATGTCCGATGTGTACGCCCGGGATGCTCTCGCCCGGCCGTTGAGGTTATTAGCTGGCATGATCTCAGAGATTCGTTCTGGTGTGTTCGTGCCGGATGCTGGTAGGGCTGCTCGCTTCCCGGGTAGGCGAAATGAGGCTGCCCTCGAAGGTGATGCGGAAGCTCTTCGGTTAGGACCCCTGAAAGCCTCTGCTAAGTCAGCTGCTCGGGACCTGGGCAAGGGCACGTTTTCCGATGCCGTCAAAGTCGATTCCGATTCAGACGTTCCCGAACCTGAAGCCTCACTTTGAGCTCCCTCGTCGCCTGGCGAGGTAGCTTCGTTGCGGGAGCCCAGCCCCGAGCTCGACAACCAAGATGAGGCGGAGGGTGGAGATATCGATGGCGTGGACCCTGAAGCAGGCGTCTCCTCGGCCGGGGAGACTTCATCTGAGTCTTCGACCACAGACGACGACGACGAGGATCAGGGAAGGCCGAGCCGTCTCATGTTCCCGCCGGCTCCCCCGGACGGTACGTATTTTGCTCAGCACAAGAAGCTCAGGACTCTGCGTATGATTTTGAATGGCCACCGTTCGTATACAGTCTGCGGAAGGGCAGTGGATCCGAGCGGTCCCATGGCTGCCCCGACGAACCTCAGGTATGATACACCGGTGTGCAAGCAATGCTCTCGCAGCCTCCCCAACCTTTTGCAGTAGGTAGCTTCAAGCGTCGTGTGCCGCTGTATAAAAAGGGGACCGGGAGGGGCTAAGGTGAGTGCTTGCACATTTCCGAATGCCGCTGAGTCTCGTAGTGAAGGTCAGCGTCAACAGAGTTGATATACCTTTCTTTAGGGAGGGGCAGCCAGGGCCATGAGCGGCTTCCCAAAGCAATGTTGCCTTGACAATTGTCAAACACGTGCAACAATTGAACCAGGCGCGCGCGCGCGCGCTCCTTGTGCAACATTTGAACCAGGGGGGCGCGCGCGCACGCAAAACCCCCAAACAAAGAATGCATCGGGATGTGTGCTTACCTTAACAGTGGTCATGTTCACATCAGAGTTTTTGAGCATGATTTCACATGCATGTTCGGTTTGACGCTCGAAATCTAAAGAGACACGAGCCTCACACGTTGTGGAGAGAGGGTCGCCGAATAGGTGGCCCAGAGTATGTCCGTGGTAGATAGCGAAGCAGCCTTTGCATCTAGATGCCTGGAGGTTTGCGGTGATGCTGACTTGCAGACACGTCTCGCCGGAGCCGACGTCAAAACGTACTCGGGCTTAGCTTTCAGTTGCGGGACCCCGAGAGTCCAGCCTAGCGAGGCCGAGTTCAAGTCATTTGCCGATGAGGTGTGCGGAGGTGAAGCATCGATTGGTCAGGTCAGTAAGAAGCATCGACGCTAGTGGTGGCACAGCTGCGAACGATGGTCGCAGGGGACACACCCGAAGCCCCTCGCAAGCTGCCGGGGGCAGAGAAGTCCTCCAGACTGCAACAGGTTAAGCGGCTGCTTCCAGGTATCGTTATCGAAGGCGAAATGGAACCCAGCCACTCGCTGATCGATCATGTTGCGCGCATGGGCGAGTGTAACTCGATAGTGTGGCTTCCGCCGTCGAAATGCACTAAGCGAGATTCTGAGCTGCGTTTGGGTTTCCGAGACAAGCCTCGTTACCTTACCGTCCAGGAGCAGGGCGTCGCTCTGGCGCCGGCGCCAGACAAGGTGCAGTGGAGGCTGCACATTCCACGGCCCTGGAGGTTCAATGGTGCCTCCAGCGTAGGGGCATTGCCTTCGTGATGTGCGGTTTCTTGAAGCACGAGACTCATGCAAAGTGGGTTTCCCAGATCCTCAGGGCAGTATCTTCCGAGGTGCCTCCGGGGTATGCGTCAGTCTCGCTGCAGCAAGCCCTTCGTGCAGATTCTGAGATGTTCCTGCTTCTTTCGAAGGAGGTCTCGAGAGTTAAGCCCGACAGCTCGGGGATCATGGAGATGGACGTGAAAATGCAAGCCCTGAGGCTGGACCCGCGTGTTACCACTTACCTGCTGCCGCTGCAAAAACCGAATGCTCATCCCGTGCCGCCTCCTCCGGAGCCGGAGGGTGCCGACGGCTTGAAGCCGACCAAGCGGCAGAAGAAGAAGGATCTGAGGTTGAATGCCCCAGTGAAGGTTGCAAACATGCCTGATGAATTGAAAGGCTGCCCATATCCGGCCGATACATCGGGTCGGCGATTCTGTTGGCCGTTCAATCTTAGCAAAGGTTGCAATGCCAAGTGCGAAGGGTCCCCTCCAGCATGTGCCAAAGGGGTCCACGGATGCATGACGTGTGGCCGCATAGGGCATGGACATGCCACATGTTGGTTTGCGGGCGGCAAAGGCAGAGGCAAGGGTCGTGGCAAAGGAAAAGGAAAAGGAAAGACCGAGCCTCCTGCCGGCGAGTGACTAGCCTCAGCCTCTGGCTATGCTCCAGTTGTCAAATGCCACAGGAGCCGTTCCAGAAGCCGCAATGAAAGCATGCATGAGAATTCTGAGCAATCTGATTTCAATATGTTTCCCTTGCCTAACAATGCTGAGGGCGGTTCTGCTGTTCTCACCCGCACAACGAACCAAGCAGTTCGGATGGTCTTCCATCTCGAGCTCACGTGAGCATGAGTTCTCCATGGATTCAAATTCGCATTCATTCAATTTCGAACCAAGAAGCATTGCCACTCCAGCTCAGCTGAGCCCAGCCGAGTCTCTCGCGTTGGATTGCCTGCGTGCTGGCAAATGCGATAGCCATGATTTCCTAGCTCTGTCAAACTTGTTGCCGGGAGAGGCCCCTGCGAGGTCCGGCAAGCCTGTTGGCGACGAGCGCTCTTTTACGACTGGCGCTTATTGTCACGGTCCCATGGTTGGACTTCGGCACAACTGCAAAGCTTTTAAGTTTTCCACGTTGCTGTTGACTACATGTGCAAGAGTTGCCTTTAAAGATTTGGATTTCAGCACTGTCGGCCTCTTTAAGAACATCAAGACAACCCGACATCGTGATCGCAACAACTTGAGAAACACCTTGAATGGAGTGGTGGCCCTGTCATCCTTCAAAGGAGGAGGCGTACGTTTGCACCGTCCCGATGGTGCCGAGGACTTGCAAGTCAATGCCGGTCCCATCATGTTTGATGCATCCATAGAGCATGAAACTTTGGAATGGTTCGATGGCCCTCGACTTGTGTTGGTGGCGTTTAGCGTGTCCAAGATTTCTCAGCTTGACTCGGGCGCCAAGCAATATCTGACTGAGGTTGGTTTTCCTTTGCCCCTGGCTGTACCAGCCCAAAGTGCAGCATCGACTGTACTGCCAGGCCACACCACGTCAGCGACTACAACCAGTTCAGAAGGACTTATTCTGGATGTGTTTGCAGGTGATGCCGTCTTCGCCAAACAAGCCCAGAAAGCTGGATTCAAAGTGCTTGCGTTTGACGTCAACCCAAAGCGCGTGCAATTTCCTGTCCAACCGCTTGACATCACAAAGTCCGATGAAATGCAAGTCCTGAAAGATGTGATTTCCGAAAACCGCAGCAGTCTTACACTGGTGCAGATCACCTTGCCGATGCTTGCCGCTTTCTTTTCCCCGGACCGAGGTTCCAAAGAGTTCGCTGCATCATTAACCGCAGCCGTCGTTGACTTGTCGTGGTATGCCATAAACTTTTCAGTCGACGTGGCCATCCTGCACCCGGCAAGCTCAGCGTTCTGGTCTTTTGACAAAGTAACCCAATTGGTGCAACATTTGCCTTCATTGACAGTTCAGTTCCATCAATGCATGCACGGCGGTTCTCAAGATCGCTTGGCTTCCTGGTGGTCAACTGGTTCTTGGCATGCTGCCCTCGCCGTGCGGTGCTCTCGTGATCACCCTCATCGTTCGCAAAATCATGCTGATCCTACATGGCCGGCCCTGCTCTGGACCAGGGCGATTGACCTCCTCGCCGTCGCAACTGGTGGTTCCGCTGCTCCGGCCCCTTTGTATGGACCTTCTCCCACCACCCTAAGACCAGCCCTAGGCAAGCAATCCAAGAAGGCGAGGCCCCTCGTCAGCGAGTTCGCGCGATACGATGCTTGGGCAGTACCCTTGGATTGCACTGCGTTGGAGCCCTTAATCTCCTGTTACCCTAAAGGTGCAAAGGTTGTGAGGCGCAAACTTGTGCCGTGGGGTTCGGTAAGGGTTTGCGTTTGTCCGGAGGTTTCTATGGCTAAGCTTCAGGACGCCCTCTGCGACAAGTGGTCGTGGGCCCTGTGTTCCGAATCACCCGATGAGCCGCATTCACAGGTATCCCCCGTTTGCGGTATGCTCGAGCCTAGAAATTTCATTGAAACAGCTGAAATAATATGGCTTGGCATCCCAAGAGAGCCTGATGACTTCCTTGAGAAGGCAGTTCTGGCAGGGCACCCGAAGTGTCTACTAGACTCGGAAGTTGATCCGCAGGTGTCTCTTCTGATCGACAACCTCCTCGAGAGCCCGATAAGGCTCCCTGGCAAAGGACTTGATGTGCTGCGGGATTGGTCGGGCCGCCGCGAACAACTCGCGGATGCCGAGAGCGACGCGAGGAATTCATGGCCAGAGCACGTCGCCAAAGTCCTTGGGGATAAATCCACCGTCTTGCTTGATGAGCTCCTACACAAGTTCGATTTTCCTGACACTCGCTTGGTTAAGCACATGACTCAGGGTTTCAGGCTTTCAGGTTGGCTCTGCAACACCGGTGTGTTCGTTCCTGACCCTAGGCCGCCTACTGCCACTCTGCAGGCACAGTTGAAGACCGCCAGGCCCAGGAATCAAGCCACCATTGCGAAGTTAGCCTCTCAGGTTCCTGACGAAGTTGCCCGAAAAGCTTGGAGTGAAACCCTTGAAGAGGTCGCCCGGGGATGGTTGTTTGAAGACCCCGAGCCGGCCCTTGATTCCGTACTCATTGCTCGCCGCTTTGGGTTGAAGCAAGGGCAGAAGGTGAGAGTCATAGATGACTGCAAGGCGTGCTCCTTTAATTCTACGACTGGACTTCCTGAAAAGTACCGCCTTCATGGAGTGGAATTCATAGCAGCTTTTCTGTTGAGGTGCATGCAGGACCCGAGGTCGCAAGGCATGAAGATCTCTGGAAGGACCCTAGATTTAACTTGGGCGTATAAACAATACGCCCTGCATGCGACCGACAGAGACGTACTTCGTATTGGAGTTTCCGATACCGAAGGAGGCCATCCGCGATTCCTTGGTGTAAATGCTTTACCGTTTGGAGCAACCGGGAGCGTCCCAGGCTTCCTTAGAGTTGCTGCCGCGTTATGGCATTTAGGATCTTCCGCCCTAGGGATTTGCTGGGTAAATTACTTCGACGATTACCCACTTTTCTGCAAGGACGAGGATGAAGAAATCGTAGATAAGACCGCCTCGACCTTCCTGAAACTCCTTTCTGTCCTCTTTGCAGAGGAAGGCAACTAAGTTCACGAAAGTATTCAAAGCCTTAGGCTTGATGTTCGACTTGAGCAGGTTTGGTGAAGGAGAAGTGACCGTAAGCCATACTCCTGAAAGAGTGTCAGAGCAGTCTGACACCATTCAAGGAATAGTCGCTTCCGGCAGACTCTCCCAGGCTGAAGCCGAAAGCCTCCGGGGAAGACTCCACTGGTTCACATCCTTCCTGTTCGGCCGCAGAGCCTCGCAGGCCATGAATTCTTTGAGTGACTGGATCAAGACCAGAACACCGAATACACGCATCCCTGAAGAGTTGAAAGATGCCCTGATGTATCTCAAAGAGACTGCTCTGCAAGCAGCCCCTGTGAAGATTTCCAGAAGCATAAGCCGTACCTTCCTGGTTTTCACTGACGGAAGCTTGGAGGGCAGTGTAGCGTGCTTGGGAGGCATCCTGCATGACCAAACGGGTCATGCCATTGCCTTCTTTTCTTCAAGAGTTGACAAGCGCGCACTTGAACGCCTCTACCAGCATTCTAGTCACCCGATTTATGAAGTCGAATTGCTGGCAATCTGGGCAGCCATGTCGCTTTGGCAAGAAGATGTGCGGGACTCCTACACAATCTTCTACTCTGACAATGAGGCGGCTAGGGGCGCCCTCATTTCTGCCAGATCTTCAACGATCGCAGGAAAATCTATCCTAGAGGCAATCTTGAAGATTGAAGACGATTCGATTTGCAGGCCTTGGTATGGCCGTGTCCCTACACACAGCAACTGCGCCGATGACCCGAGCCGAGAGGTCTTCGACCACCTGCTTAACAAAGGTGTGCGACGGGATTTTCTTGAATCTCCGTTCCCTTGCTGAGTCGCTGCTCAACGGGGGTACCTTAGGGCGTCTCAGGCATGTGTGGTTCTGCCACATATGTCAGCAAACAGTTTCAACCGAACTCTTTCGACCCCTCAGCTCCTTCGGGAAGAAACATCGGCGCACCCTCTGTCTGCTGTGAGTTTAAGGGCTCCGCCCGTACCGCCAGGGTGTTCCCCTCCTCGCGGTTTCTGTTTACGCGCGTAAACACCGGCGAATAAG